CTTGACTTGCGTTGTGACCGCCGACTTGGTCCTCGAGAACTTGTTCTCCTCTGCGAATGCTTCCCGCTCTTTTTCAAGTTCCTCGTACACGTCGGCTAAGAGCATTAGCGAAACCAGGACCGACGTCTTGTACGCTCTTAAGAAGATCCTTAGACTCGGTGTACAGTTCTCCTTATTAATACTTAAGATCTTGATGTCGATCAGGTAGTCCTTGAACGACTCGCTGAAGCCCTGCTTCCCTTGTCTGACCTGATCCGCCAGCCTAATGAAGAAATCTCTCGGCAGAAAATGTGTGGGAAAGCTTTCTTTGAATTGCGCCCAGGATCTCCATTCCTTGTTGTTGGCAATGAACCATTTCAAAGCCCTGCCTTTAAGCAATTCCGGCATCGCTCGGGGAATCATGTGCAAATCCAGACCGTTTGTGTTGGCTGACTATTCTATTTGCTCCAGGAAAGGATACTTACGAGGGCGGCATAAGGATATGGTTGGGGTATAAGGGATCCAGACCGCAAGGCATCAGGGTTCAGCGTCGGTCATCTGTCGGAGTCATCCGTTATTACGCCAGGCAAAAAGGACGTGCACTAGAACACGAGGGTACAGGCAAGGCAGTAAGCGATAAAACCTTCAATGCAACAGGAGTAGGCGTCAGGCATAGACAAGAGTCATCCATAGTATCGCCGAGCAGACCGGATACAACGACGGTGGCAAAGATATAGATCATTCTAAGCACAAAAAGGCCCACCAAGGACACCATCCAAGGATACCCTCTAAGGATACTCTAAGGATAACCCAAAGGTACCGCGCAAGCACGCCATCCAAGGATACCCCCAAGGGCTACTCCAAGGATACTCTAAAAATACTGCCCAAGGATACCCCAAGAGTACTCCAAGGATACCGCCCAAGAATACCCTGCAAGGATATTCCCAAGGATACCATGGTAGGATACCCTCAAGGATACCGTGCAAGGATACCCCCAAAGATACCGCCCAAGGATACCCTACAAAAACACCCTCCAGGGATACTCACCAAGGTTTGTCAAAAGTTTCTGGTTTAAGAAGCAAGGACCCAAACACAAGTTAGTTAGGAACTTGGAGAAGCAGCGGACAGCAGCTTCCAGAGTGCCACTGTGATCTGACGGAGACTAAAGCTTGTGTGTTTTACCAAAGAAGCTTGAAGGCAATGCGCAAAGAGAGTTATACCGTAAGAGAGCGACCGGCCCGGGAAGGATATAACGGTGACAAGCAAAGAGGAAGGCGTGCAACCGTGGTTTCGTGTAAGGGGATCCCCACGACGACCGGCCTACCCGAGCTCCGCGGCGGGTCCCGAAGCTGTTCCACGTTGAAGGATCGGCGCCCGAGCCCTTGGTAAGCTCCGACAGGGACGTGGAGATGGTGAATGATCCCAGCGTTGAACAGAGGGAGTGGCGGCTCCGGAAGGCGGCGGGTGCTACCGGCGACCGCATACCACCCAGGACGGTGGGCATCAGGGGAGGAACCCCAGAGGCCCGCGACGCTACCGACCGAGGGAAAAAACACCCGAGGGGACACGCCGAGGAGGCCTGCCGGGCCGCAATGAAGAACCGGAGGAATTTCCGTGCTTAAACCGTGGTAGGGGTCCGCCGAAATCTGCGCATACCGTGGCCCATGGTTCTTCTGGCACTTGGGTAAGCATTTTGCCAGCCGCCAGCATTTGATTTGGTTTAAATCTTATGCATGCCTCGCATTTCCCCACATGGGCTCGTACGTCTCTTAGCATTCCTGGTTTTCTCTCAACACTGTTTCCCATAAAGACTTTGGGACGCACATTTTCCATGTTTTCGCTGCCCGCTGTGTGAAATATTTTAATAAAGGGTCTCACCTTCCATCATATAGTCTAAGAATTTCTTCTGTTGGGTCCTTGTCTTTTCGCACATGTCCTTGATCCAGCTGACAATATTTTAACCGTTGTCTCCTTTAAGCCGCTGCTTGCTGGTAATGGTTGTATTGGCAAGGCGTCAGCCACCACGTTTAGCTGAACCTTTGTGTACGCTATCTCGAAGTCGTAATGTTGTCACTCCAGGGCCCATCTGGCGATCCATCCTGAAGGGCTTTCGATGCTGTTCAGCCATTTCAGAGCCATACTTTAAGGTGGTAACCTACCAGATACGGCTTGAGCTTTCGAATAGCCCAGAGAATTGATAAGCACTCCTTCTCCGTTGCTGTATAGTTTTTCTCCACGCCGTTCAACGTTCGGCTCGAGTAAGAGTTTTTCGCCCTTTTCGGTGTCCTGGGTCAGTACTGCTCCGATGCCGTGGTCGCTGGCGATTGTTTGAAGGGTGAAAGGATCTACTGAAGTCCGGGTCTGTCACGAGTCTTGACTTCTCTTCCTCAAACGCCATCTGGTTCTTCGGTGTCCACTCCTACTTGCTGCTTTTGCGTAGCAAGTCATTCAACGGTTTGACGATTCTGGAAAAATCTGGTACAAATCGGCGGTACCACGACGCAACTCCCAGATATTGCTGAAGTTCTCTGCCGGTAGAGGGTGGTTCCAGTTCAGCGATGGAGGCTACTTTATTTTGATTCTGTTCCTACTCCTTCACTACTCACTCGATGTCCCAGGTACAGTAGTTCCTTCTTAAGATATTGGCATTTTTCCCGATTCAACCTCCGGATTACTTCTCTTAGGTTTTCTTTGTGTTCTTCTAGCGTGCGTCCGATCCGTTTTATGTCTTCCTGGTAAGCGAATGCGTGAGGTGACATTTAACGTGGGAAATGTTGCAGACGCAGAGTGGAGCCCAAACGGCTTTACCCTCCACTGCAACAAACCCTTGCCTGGTACTGTAAAAGCCATGAATTGGCTGCTACTTTCTTCCAGTGGGATCTGCCAGTATCCATCCTTTAGGTTCAAGCAGCTGATGTACCGCGCTTCCCCCAGTTGGTCCAGGATGTAGTTAATGCGGGGCATTGGGTAGGCATCCTTTACAGACTTCGCGTTGATCTGTCTGAATTCGACGCAAAGCCTTCACTTGTCTGTCATCTTTTTCACCATCAAAGTAGGGAGCTGGAGAAGCTCGTCTACCTGTGCATTGATCTCCCCTTACATTTTTGTGTTCTTGGGGTAGTATCTCTGCTTGATTGGCCTGTCATCCTTAAATTTGATCTGGTGCTCTGCCATACTCGATGTTCCCGTCATTGTGTTGAAGTCTGCTAGTTCTGTTTCCAGGAACGTTGTAGTATAGTCCACCTCGCTTGCCTGTTGAACGACTGCTACCGATAGCTTCTCGCATTTGTGTCGGTTCCTGGCTGGTATTATGATCTCGTGTCCAGCACACTTTATTTCGGTTCCGACTGGTGTAAGAAAGTTTCATCCCAACACCAACGGATCCACTACTCCTGGTTAAATCAACGACTCATGGTCAGCATCTATTCCGCCGCATCTTCCGTCTGCCAACCTAACTTGCCGTCTCCTTCATGTAATCCTTTCAAGAGCTGTAAGACTGTCTTCCAGTTATTTGCTAACGAAGCTTGCTGTTACCCCGGAGTCGATTATGGCTTTGAAACTGGTCCGACCAATCATAACCGCTGCGGACAACTGCTGCTTCTCTTGGATAAGCTTGCCAGTTAGTCTGTTGGTGAGATCGCTGGACATTTACCGCTCACTGGCAGCACTCAGCGCTCCTGACGCCCACTTTGCCGCATACCCAGCAGAATAACAGCCGTTGGTTTCGACATCCTCGAGTCCAGTATCCGCTTCCACGGTATTTTCGAAAGGCCTCCTGCGGGTCTATAATACGGGTTGCTGTATCTTGTGGCCTCTGTGTTGTGCCAACACAGGGTATTGTTTGGCTGTCTCTGTTGCATGGTTATGGTGAGGCTCATGGACCTCCTCGTGGTGCTTCGGTTGCCTGCTGCCGTCGGACTTGTTGTGGTGGTGACCATTGGTCATTTCCCCGTTTATCTTGAATGCCTGATTCTTCGCATCTTCGTGTTGGTACTGCCGACTTGGTCCTCGAGAACTTGTTCTCCTGTGCGAATACTTCCCTTCCCAGGATCTCCATTGCTTGTTGTTGGCAATGAACCATTTCAAATCCTTTCCTTTAAGCAATTCCGTTTGTGTTGGCTGACCTTTCTATTTTGCTCCAGGAACTCGAATGGTTACGCCAGAAGGAAAGGACTTTTACGATGGCGGCATAAGGATATGGTTAGGGTATAAGGGATATAGACCGCAAGGCAACAGGGTTCAGAGTCGGCCATCTGTCGGAGTCATCCGTTTTTACGCCAAGCAGAAAGGACATGCACTAGAACATGTTTCCTAACAAGGATACAGGCAAGGCAGTGAGGGATAAGATCAACAAGGCAACAGGAGTAGGCGTCAGGCATAAGCAAGAGTCATCCATGTTATCGCCAAGCAGAGCGGATACAACGACGGTGGCAAAGGTCTCTCTCGATGAGTAATTGAGTGGCCTCATCGATCATGTAGTCCTTGAACGATTCGCTGTAGCCCTGCTTCCGTTGCCTGATCTGATCCGCCAGCCGGATGAAAAAATCTCTCGGCAGAAAATAGGTGTGAAAGGTGTGTGAAGTAAGGAACATCGGCTTGGGGGTTTGTTGAAGGCGAATTGTACAAAGTCCTTTTCTTAGTTCGAGTCTATTCTATGGCAGGAAGTAAGGTGCAGGGTCAACTTATTTTAGAAAATTCGTGTAAGCTTTCAACTAAATAGCTTCGTTGTTTTTTGACATAATATCTTATACTATTGGGAATACCATTTTTTGTATTTTAAAGAATTTCGAATTAAATTTAATAATTATAACTGCAAGGGTATACAAACTTCAGCTTGCCGAAGTTAACTTCCTTTCTTGTTTTATGTTTAAGTAATTGGTAGAAAAATTTTAAACTTAAAATTTAATGTATTGAAAGGGTTTAACTACAATCGAATGGAATCGGTGCTGCCAGATGACGTTCTCATACATTTTCGGGTTTCTCTGGATGTTTTCCTCCATAATTTTCTTGTGCATCGTCACTCAAGTCTCTAGCCTGGCCAGGACATCTGGTAGGACTTCACATACCTTCAGGCGATTAAACTCTGGTCCATCACGCAAGTCTACGTTTGTCCTAAAGTTGTAATTGGGCGTGTAGCCGTTGATTTTCAGGAAGTGGTCAAAATAGAAGGGCACTATCTGCTCCTGCATATTGTCAACTGTCAACAAGGAGGTGTGAGTAATCTGGTCGCCTGTGTAACCGTCCTCCCTGAAAGCACGCACAAAGTTCTTTGTGTTCTCAGAGATAGCAAGGACCTCTCTTTCCTCCGGAATGACCCTCCTCTTGAGGAAGAGCCTTGGAAGGCGTCCCTCTCGCTTCGGCTTTCTAAAGGGGGGTTCCAAGTTGCGGCGCACCTTCTTCATCTCCATTTCAATGCGCCGCTCAACTTGATAGGCCTGGTAGGAGAGCTTTTCTCTGTAGCGGCGTCCTTTTCGCAAGTTGGCTTCTACGGAACGGACCTTCTCAATGTCCATGTTTTCGAACTTTGAAAGGATCTCCATGACCACGTCGCTTATGGCAGCCACCATGTCAGCAGCACTGGGCAGGACATCGCTGGTACCGCGAACCGAGTCTGCGACCACTCGGCGCCACACCTCGGCTAAGACGGCGCGGTGTTTGTTGAAATCCTCGTCCGCAATCGTCTCCTCGATGGGCCGTCCAAGGTAGTGGTGGACCCTCTCCTCCATCTCCTTTGCGCGATCCTCCATAAAAAATTTTTTCGCTGATTTGCGAGCAACGTACTCCTGCTTTTCCTTGAGTTCTTTGGTGCACCAATCTATAAAGGCCTCCAGTCGGCCCTGCAGCTCGGTGTGAATGGACATTGTGAAGTGCATTTCCAGAAGCAGCATAAAGGTTTTGTTCTTAAGGCTCTCGACGCCCTGCAAGAAGGACTCTGCGTCAGGGAAGACTTGCAGGATTGGGTGGACCTTTTGCATGTAGACGTCGTAGTAGAAGGCGCGGATGGCCCAGGCGTCGTCCTTGTCGCGCACCCGAATATTGACGGTGGTTCGCTTTGCGATCGATACGTCGTAAGGCTCCAGTTCCAAGTCTTCATCACCCACATCCACTTCCTTAGCTGCATGCTCCGGGCATTGCTCCTCGTCAACCTGGCCTTCGGAACTGCCGCGGCGCTCACTTTTGGGGACCAGATGTATCCAGTCGCGCTCCGCTCGCCAATCCTGGTCCCCCATTAGGTAGTGGAAGTTCTGCAGCATAATACACCGGATCCAGTGGCCCTCGATAAAAACAATATCCATGTTGAGCATCATCAACTCGCGCTCTAGATTCCGGTACTCCTGCTTCAGTTTGTCAGTGGTCTCGTAATACGACTTCACCTGATACACCATCGTCATGGCCGCGTTATACTCCTTCTTCTTCCACTTGGCGAACAACGCCTCGTACAAGATCTTGGTATTCTTCATACCCACCCAGTGTCGCTCGTTCATGCGATCGTATATCTTGGTGCGCACCATTTGCCCTTGAATCAACAGGGCCTCGTACTTCAAACGCATGGCGTCCTTAAGCAACTGAATACTGGTTTTGAACTTGAAAGACTTAAGATCTGGATGTCGATCAAGTAGTCCTTGAACGACTCGCTGAAGCCCTGCTTCCCTTGTCTGACCTGATCCGCCAGCCTAATGAAGAAATCTCTCGGCAGAAAATGTGTGGGAAAGCTTTCTTTGAATTGCGCCCAGGATCTCCATTCCTTGTTGTTGGCAATGAACCATTTCAAAGCCCTGCCTTTAAGAAATTCCGGCATCGCTCGGGGAGTCATGTGCAAATCCAGACCGTTTGTGTTGGCTGACTATTCTATTTGCTCCAGGAAAGGATACTTACGAGGGCGGCATAAGGATATGGTTGGGGTATAAGGGATCCAGACCGCAAGGCATCAGGGTTCAGCGTCGGTCATCTGTCGGAGTCATCCGTTATTACGCCAGGCAGAAAGGACGTGCACTAGAACACGAGGGTACAGGCAAGGCAGTAAGGGATAAAACCTTCAATGCAACAGGAGTAGGCGTCAGGCATAGGCAAGAGTCATCCATAGTATCGCCGAGCAGACCGGATACAACGACGGTGGCAAAGATATAGATCATTCTAAGCACAAAAAGGCCCACCAAGGACACCATCCAAGGATACCCTCTAAGGATACTCTAAGGATAACCCAAAGGTACCGCGCAAGCACACCATCCAAGGATACCCCCAAGGGCTACTCCAAGGATACTCTAAAAATACTGCCCAAGGATACCCCAAGAGTACTCCAAGGATACCGCCCAAGAATACCCTGCAAGGATATTCCCAAGGATACCATGGTAGGATACCCTCAAGGATACCGTGCAAGGATACCCCCAAAGATACCGCCCAAGGATACCCTACAAAAACACCCTCCAGGGATACTCACCAAGGTTTGTCAAAAGTTTCTGGTTTAAGAAGCAAGGACCCAAACACAAGTTAGTTAGGAACTTGGAGAAGCAGCGGACAGCAGCTTCCAGAGTGCCACTGTGATCTGACGGAGACTAAAGCTTGTGTGTTTTACCAAAGAAGCTTGAAGGCAATGCGCAAAGAGAGTTATACCGTAAGAGAGCGACCGGCCCGGGAAGGATATAACGGTGACAAGCAAAGAGGAAGGCGCGCAACCGTGGTTTCGTGTAAGGGGATCCCCACGACGACCGGCCTACCCGAGCTCCGCGGCGGGTCCCGAAGCTGTTCCACGTCGAAGGATCGGCGCCCGAGCCCTTGGTAAGCTCCGACAGGGACGTGGAGATGGTGAATGATCCCAGCGTTGAACAGAGGGAGTGGCGGCTCCGGAAGGCGGCGGGTGCTACCGGCGACCGCATACCACCCAGGACGGTGGGCATCAGGGGAGGAACCCCAGAGGCCCGCGACGCTACCGACCGAGGGAAAAAACACCCGAGGGGACACGCCGAGGAGGCCTGCCGGGCCGCAATGAAGAACCGGAGGAATTTCCGTGCTTAAACCGTGGTAGGGGTCCGCCGAAATCTGCGCATACCGTGGCCCATGGTTCTTCTGGCACTTGGGTAAGCATTTTGCCAGCCGCCAGCATTTGATTTGGTTTAAATCTTATGCATGCCTCGCATTTCCCCACATGGGCTCGTACGTCTCTTAGCATTCCTGGTTTTCTCTCAACACTGTTTCCCATAAAGACTTTGGGACGCACATTTTCCATGTTTTCGCTGCCCGCTGTGTGAAATATTTTAATAAAGGGTCTCACCTTCCATCATATAGTCTAAGAATTTCTTCTGTTGGGTCCTTGTCTTTTCGCACATGTCCTTGATCCAGCTGACAATATTTTAACCGTTGTCTCCTTTAAGCCGCTGCTTGCTGGTAATGGTTGTATTGGCAAGGCGTCAGCCACCACGTTTAGCTGAACCTTTGTGTACGCTATCTCGAAGTCGTAATGTTGTCACTCCAGGGCCCATCTGGCGATCCATCCTGAAGGGCTTTCGATGCTGTTCAGCCATTTCAGAGCCATACTTTAAGGTGGTAACCTACCAGATAAGCACTCCTTCTCCGTTGCTGTATAGTTTTTCTCCACGCCGTTCAACGTTCGGCTCGAGTAAGAGTTTTTCGCCCTTTTCGGTGTCCTGGGTCAGTACTGCTCCGATGCCGTGGTCGCTGGCGATTGTTTGAAGGGTGAAAGGTTCTACTGAAGTCCGGGTCTGTCACGAGTCTTGACTTCTCTTCCTCAAACGCCATCTGGTTCTTCGGTGTCCACTCCTACTTGCTGCTTTTGCGTAGCAAGTCATTCAACGGTTTGACGATTCTGGAAAAATCTGGTACAAATCGGCGGTACCACGACGCAACTCCCAGATATTGCTGAAGTTCTCTGCCGGTAGAGGGTGGTTCCAGTTCAGCGATGGAGGCTACTTTATTTTGATTCTGTTCCTACTCCTTCACTACTCACTCGATGTCCCAGGTACAGTAGTTCCTTCTTAAGATATTGGCATTTTTCCCGATTCAACCTCCGGATTACTTCTCTTAGGTTTTCTTTGTGTTCTTCTAGCGTGCGTCCGATCCGTTTTATGCCTTCCTGGTAAGCGAATGCGTGAGGTGACATTTAACGTGGGAAATGTTGCAGACGCAGAGTGGAGCCCAAACGGCTTTACCCTCCACTGCAACAAACCCTTGCCTGGTACTGTAAAAGCCATGAATTGGCTGCTACTTTCTTCCAGTGGGATCTGCCAGTATCCATCCTTTAGGTTCAAGCAGCTGATGTACCGCGCTTCCCCCAGTTGGTCCAGGATGTAGTTAATGCGGGGCATTGGGTAGGCATCCTTTACAGACTTCGCGTTGATCTGTCTGAATTCGACGCAAAGCCTTCACTTGTCTGTCATCTTTTTCGCCATCAAAGTAGGGAGCTGGAGAAGCTCGTCTACCTGTGCATTGATCTCCCCTTACATTTTTGTGTTCTTGGGGTAGTATCTCTGCTTGATTGGCCTGTCATCCTTAATTTTGATCTGGTGCTCTGCCATACTCGATGTTCCCGTCATGGTGTTGAAGTCTGCTAGTTCTGTTTCCAGGAACGTTGTAGTATAGTCCACCTCGCTTGCCTGTTGAACGACTGCTACCGATAGCTTCTCGCCATTGTGTCGGTTCCTGGCTGGTATTATGATCTCGTGTCCAGCACACTTTATTTCGGTTCCACCTGGTGTAAGAAAGTTTCATCCCAACACCAACGGATCCACTACTCCTGGTTAAATCAACGACTCATGGTCAGCATCTATTCCGCCGCATCTTCCGTCTGCCAACCTAACTTGCCGTCTCCTTCATGTAATCCTTTCAAGAGCTGTAAGATTGTCTTCCAGTTATTTGCTAACGAAGCTTGCTGTTACCCCGGAGTCGATTATGGCTGCTTCTCTTGGATAAGCTTGCCAGTTAGTCTGTTGCTGAGATCGCTGGACATTTACCGCTCACTGGCAGCACTCAACGCTCCTGACGCCCACTTTGCCGCATACCCAGCAGAATAACAGCCATTGGTTTCGACATCCTCGAGTCCAGTATCCGCTTCCACGGTATTTTCGAAAGGCCTCCTGCGGGTCTATAATACGGGTTGCTGTATCTTGTGGCCTCTGTGTTGTGCCATCACAGGGTATTGTTTGGCTGTCTCTGTTGCATGGTTATGGTGAGGCTCATGGACCTCCTCGTGGTGCTTCGGTTGCCTGCTGCCGTCGGACTTGTTGTGGTGGTGACCATTGGTCATTTCCCCGTTTATCTTGAATGCCTGATTCTTCGCATCTTCGTGTTGGTACTGCCGACTTGGTCCTCGAGAACCTGTTCTCCTGTGCGAATACTTCCCTTCCCAGGATCTCCATTGCTTGTTGTTGGCAATGAACCATTTCAAATCCTTTCCTTTAAGCAATTCCGTTTGTGTTGGCTGACCTTTCTATTTTGCTCCAGGAACTCGAATGGTTACGCCAGAAGGAAAGGACTTTTACGATGGCGGCATATGGATATGGTTAGGGTATAAGGGATATAGACCGCAAGGCAACAGGGTTCAGCGTCGGCCATCTGTCGGAGTCATCCGTTTTTACGCCAAGCAGAAAGGACATGCACTAGATTAGGAAACAAGGGTACAGGCAAGGCAGTGAGGGATAAGATCAACAAGGCAACAGGAGTAGGCGTCAGGCATAAGCAAGAGTCATCCATTGTATCGCCAAGCAGAGCGGATACAACGACGGTGGCAAAGGTCTCTCTCGATGAGTAATTGAGTGGCCTCATCGATCATGTAGTCCTTGAACGATTCGCTGTAGCCCTGCTTCCGTTGCCTGATCTGATCCGCCAGCCGGATGAAAAAATCTCTCGGCAGAAAATAGGTGTGAAAGGTGTGTGAAGTAAGGAACATCGGCTTGGGGGTTTTTTGAAGGCGAATTGTACAAAGTCCTGTTCTTAGTTCGAGTCTATTCTATGGCAGGAAGTAAGGTGCAGGGTCAACTTATTTTAGAAAATTCGTGTAAGCTTTCAACTAAATAGCTTCGTTGTTTTTTGACATAATATCTTATACTATTGGGAATACCATTTTTTGTATTTTCAAGAATTTCGAATTAAATTTAATAATTATAACTGCAAGGGTATACAAACTTCAGCTTGCCGAAGTTAACTTCCTTTCTTGTTTTATGTTTAAGTAATTGGTAGAAAAATTTTAAACTTAAAATTTAATGTATTGAAAGGGTTTAACTACAATCGAATGGAATCGGTGCTGCCAGATGACGTTCTCATACATTTTCGGGTTTCTCTGGATGTTTTCCTCCATAATTTTCTTGTGCATCGTCACTCAAGTCTCTAGCCTGGCCAGGACATCTGGTAGGACTTCACATACCTTCAGGCGATTAAACTCTGGTCCATCACGCAAGTCTACGTTTGTCCTAAAGTTGTAATTGGGCGTGTAGCCGTTGATTTTCAGGAAGTGGTCAAAATAGAAGGGCACTATCTGCTCCTGCATATTGTCAACTGTCAACAAGGAGGTGTGAGTAATCTGGTCGCCTGTGTAACCGTCCTCCCTGAAAGCACGCACAAAGTTCTTTGTGTTCTCAGAGATAGCAAGGACCTCTCTTTCCTCCGGAATGACCCTCCTCTTGAGGAAGAGCCTTGGAAGGCGTCCCTCTCGCTTCGGCTTTCTAAAGGGGGGTTCCAAGTTGCGGCGCACCTTCTTCATCTCCATTTCAATGCGCCGCTCAACTTGATAGGCCTGGTAGGAGAGCTTTTCTCTGTAGCGGCGTCCTTTTCGCAAGTTGGCTTCTACGGAACGGACCTTCTCAATGTCCATGTTTTCGAACTTTGAAAGGATCTCCATGACCACGTCGCTTATGGCAGCCACCATGTCAGCAGCACTGGGCAGGACATCGCTGGTACCGCGAACCGAGTCTGCGACCACTCGGCGCCACACCTCGGCTAAGACGGCGCGGTGTTTGTTGAAATCCTCGTCCGCAATCGTCTCCTCGATGGGCCGTCCAAGGTAGTGGTGGACCCTCTCCTCCATCTCCTTTGCGCGATCCTCCATAAAAAATTTTTTCGCTGATTTGCGAGCAACGTACTCCTGCTTTTCCTTGAGTTCTTTGGTGCACCAATCTATAAAGGCCTCCAGTCGGCCCTGCAGCTCGGTGTGAATGGACATTGTGAAGTGCATTTCCAGAAGCAGCATAAAGGTTTTGTTCTTAAGGCTCTCGACGCCCTGCAAGAAGGACTCTGCGTCAGGGAAGACTTGCAGGATTGGGTGGACCTTTTGCATGTAGACGTCGTAGTAGAAGGCGCGGATGGCCCAGGCGTCGTCCTTGTCGCGCACCCGAATATTGACGGTGGTTCGCTTTGCGATCGATACGTCGTAAGGCTCCAGTTCCAAGTCTTCATCACCCACATCCACTTCCTTAGCTGCATGCTCCGGGCATTGCTCCTCGTCAACCTGGCCTTCGGAACTGCCGCGGCGCTCACTTTTGGGGACCAGATGTATCCAGTCGCGCTCCGCTCGCCAATCCTGGTCCCCCATTAGGTAGTGGAAGTTCTGCAGCATAATACACCGGATCCAGTGGCCCTCGATAAAAACAATATCCATGTTGAGCATCATCAACTCGCGCTCTAGATTCCGGTACTCCTGCTTCAGTTTGTCAGTGGTCCTGATACACCATCGTCATGGCCGCGTTATACTCCTTCTTCTTCCACTTGGCGAACAACGCCTCGTACAAGATCTTGGTATTCTTCATACCCACCCAGTGTCGCTCGTTCATGCGATCGTATATCTTGGTGCGCACCATTTGCCCTTGAATCAACAGGGCCTCGTACTTCAAACGCATGGCGTCCTTAAGCAACTGAATACTGGTTTTGAACTTGAAAGACTTAATGGTGGCGCGGCTTTTTAACTCCTCAATATAGTTCTCGTCAAGATCGGTGATCACTGCCCCGTAGTACTTGCGGTTCCCGGGTCCAAGCAGGGTCCTGCGGACGTCCGGTACGGGCACCTCCAGTTGCAACCTTAAGCTGTTTCGCAGCCGAGTGCTGAAGGTAAAAAACATATCCTTGGGACCCAGCATATCGGCCTGCGCCTTGTGCTGACCCGAAAATGGCAGCATACGGTAGGGATCCTCGTCCTCGGCATTCACGTCAACTACCGCCGCGTGGAAGCGTGCGCGTCGCATTTCCTCGAATGGCACCAGTGGTTTTCGTATGTAATCCAGGGGCAATTTAGTCTTATCCTCGATCACCATGTAGCTGCCACTGTCGTTAGACAGATCAGTGCACTCGGAGCTGCTCAATGAGCTAAGACAGTTTTCAATGCTCTTGAGATCCTCCTCAAGGTCCGCGATCACTGCGCGACGATCTACTAATAGGCGATCTTCGCAAGGTTCGATGTCCTTGGTCTCGTAAATTGCTTCGCGGGTGTCACGAATACTTCCCTTCCCAGGATCTCCATTGCTTGTTGTTGGCAATGAACCATTTCAAATCCTTTCCTTTAAGCAATTCCGTTTGTGTTGGCTGACCTTTCTATTTTGCTCCAGGAACTCGAATGGTTACGCCAGAAGGAAAGGACTTTTACGATGGCGGCATAAGGATATGGTTAGGGCATAAGGGATATAGACCGCAAGGCAACAGGGTTCAGCGTCGGCCATCTGTCGGAGTTATCCGTTTTTACGCCAAGCAGAAAGGACATGCACTAAAACAGGAAACAAGGGTACAGGCAAGGCAGTGAGGGATAAGATCAACAAGGCAACAGGAGTAGGCGTCAGGCATAAGCAAGAGTCATCCATTGTATCGCCAAGCAGAGCGGATACAACGACGGTGGCAAAGGTCTCTCGGTGAGTAATTGAGTGGCCTCATCGATCATGTAGTCCTTGAACGATTCGCTGTAGCCCTGCTTCCGTTGCCTGATCTGATCCGCCAGCCGGATGAAAAAATCTCTCGGCAGAAAATAGGTGTGAAAGGTGTGTGAAGTAAGGAACATCGGCTTGGGGGTTTTTTGAAGGCGAATTGTACAAAGTCCTGTTCTTAGTTCGAGTCTATTCTATGGCAGGAAGTAAGGTGCAGGGTCAACTTATTTTAGAAAATTCGTGTAAGCTTTCAACTAAATAGCTTCGTTGTTTTTTGACATAATATCTTATACTATTGGGAATACCATTTTTTGTATTTTCAAGAATTTCGAATTAAATTTAATAATTATAACTGCAAGGGTATACAAACTTCAGCTTGCCGAAGTTAACTTCCTTTCTTGTTTTATGTTTAAGTAATTGGTAGAAAAATTTTAAACTTAAAATTTAATGTATTGAAAGGGTTTAACTACAATCGAATGAAATCGGTGCTGCTAGATGACGTTCTCATACATTTTCGGGTTTCTCTGGATGTTTTCCTCCATAATTTTCTTGTGCATCGTCTCCCAAGTCTCTAGCCTGGCCAGGACATCTGGTAGGACTTCACATACCTTCAGGCGATTAAACTCTGGTCCATCACGCAAGTCTACGTTTGTCCTAAAGTTGTAATTGGGCGTGTAGCCGTTGATTTTCAGGAAGTGGTCAAAATAGAAGGGCACTATCTGCTCCTGCATATTGTCAACTGTCAACAAGGAGGTGTGAGTAATCTGGTCGCCTGTGTAACCGTCCTCCCTGAAAGCACGCACAAAGTTCTTTGTGTTCTCAGAGATAGCAAGGACCTCTCTTTCCTCCGGAATGACCCTCCTCTTGAGGAAGAGCCTTGGAAGGCGTCCCTCTCGCTTCGGCTTTCTAAAGGGGGGTTCCAAGTTGCGGCGCACCTTCTTCATCTCCATTTCAATGCGCCGCTCAACTTGATAGGCCTGGTAGGAGAGCTTTTCTCTGTAGCGGCGTCCTTTTCGCAAGTTGGCTTCTACGGAACGGACCTTCTCAATGTCCATGTTTTCGAACTTTGAAAGGATCTCCATGACCACGTCGCTTATGGCGGCCACCATGTCAGCAGCACTGGGCAGGACATCGCTGGTACCGCGAACCGAGTCTGCGACCACTCGGCGCCACACCTCGGCTAAGACGGCGCGGTGTTTGTTGAAATCCTCGTCCGCAATCGTCTCCTCGATGGGCCGTCCAAGGTAGTGGTGGACCCTCTCCTCCATCTCCTTTGCGCGATCCTCCATAAAAAAATTTTTCGCTGATTTGCGAGCAACGTACTCCTGCTTTTCCTTGAGTTCTTTGATGCACCAATCTATAAAGGCCTCCAGTCGGCCCTGCAGCTCGGTGTGAATGGACATTGTGAAGTGCATTTCCAGAAGCAGCATAAAGGTTTTTTTCTTAAGGCTCTCGACGCCCTGCAAGAAGGACTCTGCGTCAGGGAAGACTTGCAGGATTGGGTGGACCTTTTGCATGTAGACGTCGTAGTAGAGGGCGCGGATGGCCAGGCGTCGTCCTTGTCGCGCACCCGAATATTGACGGTGGTTCGCTTTGCGATCGATACGTCGTAAGGCTCCAGTTCCAAGTCTTCATCACCCACATCCACTTCCTTAGCTGCATGCTCCGGGCATTGCTCCTCGTCAACCTGGCCTTCGGAACTGCCGCGGCGCTCACTTTTGGGGACCAGATGTATCCAGTCGCGCTCCGCTCGCCAATCCTGGTCCCCCATTAGGTAGTGGAAGTTCTGCAGCATAATACACCGGATCCAGTGGCCCTCGATAAAAACAATATCCATGTTGAGCATCATCAACTCGCGCTCTAGATTCCGGTACTCCTGCTTCAGTTTGTCAGTGGTCCTGATACACCATCGTCATGGCCGCGTTATACTCCTTCTTCTTCCACTTGGCGAACAACGCCTCGTACAAGATCTTGGTATTCTTCATACCCACCCAGTGTCGCTCGTTCATGCGATCGTATATCTTGGTGCGCACCATTTGCCCTTGAATCAACAGGGCCTCGTACTTCAAACGCATGGCGTCCTTAAGCAACTGAATACTGGTTTTGAACTTGAAAGACTTAATGGTGGCGCGGCTTTTTAACTCCTCAATATAGTTCTCGTCAAGATCGGTGATCACTGCCCCGTAGTACTTGCGGTTCCCGGGTCCAAGCAGGGTCCTGCGGACGTCCGGTACGGGCACCTCCAGTTGCAACCTTAAGCTGTTTCGCAGCCGAGTGCTGAAGGTAAAAAACATATCCTTGGGACCCAGCATATCGGCCTGCGCCTTGTGCTGACCCGAAAATGGCAGCATACGGTAGGGATCCTCGTCCTCGGCATTCACGTCAACTACCGCCGCGTGGAAGCGTGCGCGTCGCATTTCCTCGAATGGCACCAGTGGTTTTCGTATGTAATCCAGGGGCAATTTAGTCTTATCCTCGATCACCATGTAGCTGCCACTGTCGTTAGACAGATCAGTGCACTCGGAGCTGCTCAATGAGCTAAGGCAGTTTTCAATGCTCTTGAGATCCTCCTCAAGGTCCGCGATCACTGCGCGACGATCTACTAATAGGCGATCTTCGCAAGGTTCGATGTCCTTGGTCTCGTAAATTGCTTCGCGGGTGTCACGAATACTTCCCTTCCCAGGATCTCCATTGCTTGTTGTTGGCAATGAACCATTTCAAATCCTTTCCTTTAAGCAATTCCGTTTGTGTTGGCTGACCTTTCTATTTTGCTCCAGGAACTCGAATGGTTACGCCAGAAGGAAAGGACTTTTACGATGGCGGCATAAGGATATGGTTAGGGCATAAGGGATATAGACCGCAAGGCAACAGGGTTCAGCGTCGGCCATCTGTCGGAGTTATCCGTTTTTACGCCAAGCAGAAAGGACATGCACTAAAACAGGAAACAAGGGTACAGGCAAGGCAGTGAGGGATAAGATCAACAAGGCAACAGGAGTAGGCGTCAGGCATAAGCAAGAGTCATCCATTGTATCGCCAAGCAGAGCGGATACAACGACGGTGGCAAAGGTCTCTCGGTGAGTAATTGAGTGGCCTCATCGATCATGTAGTCCTTGAACGATTCGCTGTAGCCCTGCTTCCGTTGCCTGATCTGATCCGCCAGCCGGATGAAAAAATCTCTCGGCAGAAAATAGGTGTGAAAGGTGTGTGAAGTAAGGAACATCGGCTTGGGGGTTTTTTGAAGGCGAATTGTACAAAGTCCTGTTCTTAGTTCGAGTCTATTCTATGGCAGGAAGTAAGGTGCAGGGTCAACTTATTTTAGAAAATTCGTGTAAGCTTTCAACTAAATAGCTTCGTTGTTTTTTGACATAATATCTTATACTATTGGGAATACCATTTTTTGTATTTTCAAGAATTTCGAATTAAATTTAATAATTATAACTGCAAGGGTATACAAACTTCAGCTTGCCGAAGTTAACTTCCTTTCTTGTTTTATGTTTAAGTAATTGGTAGAAAAATTTTAAACTTAAAATTTAATGTATTGAAAGGGTTTAACTACAATCGAATGGAATCGGTGCTGCCAGATGACGTTCTCATACATTTTCGGGTTTCTCTGGATGTTTTCCTCCATAATTTTCTTGTGCATCGTCACTCAAGTCTCTAGCCTGGCCAGGACATCTGGTAGGACTTCACATACCTTCAGGCGATTAAACTCTGGTCCATCACGCAAGTCTACGTTTGTCCTAAAGTTGTAATTGGGCGTGTAGCCGTTGATTTTCAGGAAGTGGTCAAAATAGAAGGGCACTATCTGCTCCTGCATATTGTCAACTGTCAACAAGGAGGTGTGAGTAATCTGGTCGCCTGTGTAACCGTCCTCCCTGAAAGCACGCACAAAGTTCTTTGTGTTCTCAGAGATAGCAAGGACCTCTCTTTCCTCCGGAATGACCCTCCTCTTGAGGAAGAGCCTTGGAAGGCGTCCCTCTCGCTTCGGCTTTCTAAAGGGGGGTTCCAAGTTGCGGCGCACCTTCTTCATCTCCATTTCAATGCGCCGCTCAACTTGATAGGCCTGGTAGGAGAGCTTTTCTCTGTAGCGGCGTCCTTTTCGCAAGTTGGCTTCTACGGAACGGACCTTCTCAATGTCCATGTTTTCGAACTTTGAAAGGATCTCCATGACCACGTCGCTTATGGCAGCCACCATGTCAGCAGCACTGGGCAGGACATCGCTGGTACCGCGAACCGAGTCTGCGACCACTCGGCGCCACACCTCGGCTAAGACGGCGCGGTGTTTGTTGAAATCCTCGTCCGCAATCGTCTCCTCGATGGGCCGTCCAAGGTAGTGGTGGACCCTCTCCTCCATCTCCTTTGCGCGATCCTCCATAAAAAATTTTTTCGCTGATTTGCGAGCAACGTACTCCTGCTTTTCCTTGAGTTCTTTGGTGCACCAATCTATAAAGGCCTCCAGTCGGCCCTGCAGCTCGGTGTGAATGGACATTGTGAAGTGCATTTCCAGAAGCAGCATAAAGGTTTTTTTCTTAAGGCTCTCGACGCCCTGCAAGAAGGACTCTGCGTCAGGGAAGACTTGCAGGATTGGGTGGACCTTTTGCATGTAGACGTCGTAGTAGAGGGCGCGGATGGCCAGGCGTCGTCCTTGTCGCGCACCCGAATATTGACGGTGGTTCGCTTTGCGATCGATACGTCGTAAGGCTCCAGTTCCAAGTCTTCATCACCCACATCCACTTCCTTAGCTGCATGCTCCGGGCATTGCTCCTCGTCAACCTGGCCTTCGGAACTGCCGCGGCGCTCACTTTTGGGGACCAGATGTATCCAGTCGCGCTCCGCTCGCCAATCCTGGTCCCCCATTAGGTAGTGGAAGTTCTGCAGCATAATACACCGGATCCAGTGGCCCTCGATAAAAACAATATCCATGTTGAGCATCATCAACTCGCGCTCTAGATTCCGGTACTCCTGCTTCAGTTTGTCAGTGGTCCTGATACACCATCGTCATGGCCGCGTTATACTCCTTCTTCTTCCACTTGGCGAACAACGCCTCGTACAAGATCTTGGTATTCTTCATACCCACCCAGTGTCGCTCGTTCATGCGATCGTATATCTTGGTGCGCACCATTTGCCCTTGAATCAACAGGGCCTCGTACTTCAAACGCATGGCGTCCTTAAGCAACTGAATACTGGTTTTGAACTTGAAAGACTTAATGGTGGCGCGGCTTTTTAACTCCTCAATATAGTTCTCGTCAAGATCGGTGATCACTGCCCCGTAGTACTTGCGGTTCCCGGGTCCAAGCAGGGTCCTGCGGACGTCCGGTACGGGCACCTCCAGTTGCAACCTTAAGCTGTTTCGCAGCCGAGTGCTGAAGGTAAAAAACATATCCTTGGGACCCAGCATATCGGCCTGCGCCTTGTGCTGACCCGAAAATGGCAGCATACGGTAGGGATCCTCGTCCTCGGCATTCACGTCAACTACCGCCGCGTGGAAGCGTGCGCGTCGCATTTCCTCGAATGGCACCAGTGGTTTTCGTATGTAATCCAGGGGCAATTTAGTCTTATCCTCGATCACCATGTAGCTGCCACTGTCGTTAGACAGATCAGTGCACTCGGAGCTGCTCAATGAGCTAAGGCAGTTTTCAATGCTCTTGAGATCCTCCTCAAGGTCCGCGATCACTGCGCGACGATCTACTAATAGGCGATCTTCGCAAGGTTCGATGTCCTTGGTCTCGTAAATTGCTTCGCGGGTGTCACGAATACTTCCCTTCCCAGGATCTCCATTGCTTGTTGTTGGCAATGAACCATTTCAAATCCTTTCCTTTAAGCAATTCCGTTTGTGTTGGCTGACCTTTCTATTTTGCTCCAGGAACTCGAATGGTTACGCCAGAAGGAAAGGACTTTTACGATGGCGGCATAAGGATATGGTTAGGGCATAAGGGATATAGACCGCAAGGCAACAGGGTTCAGCGTCGGCCATCTGTCGGAGTTATCCGTTTTTACGCCAAGCAGAAAGGACATGCACTAAAACAGGAAACAAGGGTACAGGCAAGGCAGTGAGGGATAAGATCAACAAGGCAACAGGAGTAGGCGTCAGGCATAAGCAAGAGTCATCCATTGTATCGCCAAGCAGAGCGGATACAACGACGGTGGCAAAGGTCTCTCGGTGAGTAATTGAGTGGCCTCATCGATCATGTAGTCCTTGAACGATTCGCTGTAGCCCTGCTTCCGTTGCCTGATCTGATCCGCCAGCCGGATGAAAAAATCTCTCGGCAGAAAATAGGTGTGAAAGGTGTGTGAAGTAAGGAACATCGGCTTGGGGGTTTTTTGAAGGCGAATTGTACAAAGTCCTGTTCTTAGTTCGAGTCTATTCTATGGCAGGAAGTAAGGTGCAGGGTCAACTTATTTTAGAAAATTCGTGTAAGCTTTCAACTAAATAGCTTCGTTGTTTTTTGACATAATATCTTATACTATTGGGAATACCATTTTTTGTATTTTCAAGAATTTCGAATTAAATTTAATAATTATAACTGCAAGGGTATACAAACTTCAGCTTGCCGAAGTTAACTTCCTTTCTTGTTTTATGTTTAAGTAATTGGTAGAAAAATTTTAAACTTAAAATTTAATGTATTGAAAGGGTTTAACTACAATCGAATGAAATCGGTGCTGCTAGATGACGTTCTCATACATTTTCGGGTTTCTCTGGATGTTTTCCTCCATAATTTTCTTGTGCATCGTCTCCCAAGTCTCTAGCCTGGCCAGGACATCTGGTAGGACTTCACATACCTTCAGGCGATTAAACTCTGGTCCATCACGCAAGTCTACGTTTGTCCTAAAGTTGTAATTGGGCGTGTAGCCGTTGATTTTCAGGAAGTGGTCAAAATAGAAGGGCACTATCTGCTCCTGCATATTGTCAACTGTCAACAAGGAGGTGTGAGTAATCTGGTCGCCTGTGTAACCGTCCTCCCTGAAAGCACGCACAAAGTTCTTTGTGTTCTCAGAGATAGCAAGGACCTCTCTTTCCTCCGGAATGACCCTCCTCTTGAGGAAGAGCCTTGGAAGGCGTCCCTCTCGCTTCGGCTTTCTAAAGGGGGGTTCCAAGTTGCGGCGCACCTTCTTCATCTCCATTTCAATGCGCCGCTCAACTTGATAGGCCTGGTAGGAGAGCTTTTCTCTGTAGCGGCGTCCTTTTCGCAAGTTGGCTTCTACGGAACGGACCTTCTCAATTTCCATGTTTTCGAACTTTGAAAGGATCTCCATGACCACGTCGCTTATGGCGGCCACCATGTCAGCAGCACTGGGCAGGACATCGCTGGTACCGCGAACCGAGTCTGCGACCACTCGGCGCCACACCTCGGCTAAGACGGCGCGGTGTTTGTTGAAATCCTCGTCCGCAATCGTCTCCTCGATGGGCCGTCCAAGGTAGTGGTGGACCCTCTCCTCCATCTCCTTTGCGCGATCCTCCATAAAAAATTTTTTCGCTGATTTGCGAGCAACGTACTCCTGCTTTTCCTTGAGTTCTTTGGTGCACCAATCTATAAAGGCCTCCAGTCGGCCCTGCAGCTCGGTGTGAATGGACATTGTGAAGTGCATTTCCAGAAGCAGCATAAAGGTTTTGTTCTTAAGGCTCTCGACGCCCTGCAAGAAGGACTCTGCGTCAGGGAAGACTTGCAGGATTGGGTGGACCTTTTGCATGTAGACGTCGTAGTAGAAGGCGCGGATGGCCCAGGCGTCGTCCTTGTCGCGCACCCGAATATTGACGGTGGTTCGCTTTGCGATCGATACGTCGTAAGGCTCCAGTTCCAAGTCTTCATCACCCACATCCACTTTCTTAGCTGCATGCTCCGGGCATTGCTCCTCGTCAATCTGGCCTTCGGAACTGCCGCGGCGCTCACTTTTGGGGACCAGATGTATCCAGTCGCGCTCCGCTCGCCAATCCTGGTCCCCCATTAGGTAGTGGAAGTTCTGCAGCATAATACACCGGATCCAGTGGCCCTCGATAAAAACAATATCCATGTTGAGCATCATCAACTCGCGCTCTAGATTCCGGTACTCCTGCTTCAGTTTGTCAGTGGTCTCGTAATACGACTTCACCTGATACACCATCGTCATGGCCGCGTTATACTCCTTCTTCTTCCACTTGGCGAACAACGCCTCGTACAAGATCTTGGTATTCTTCATACCCACCCAGTGTCGCTCGTTCATGCGATCGTATATCTTGGTGCGCACCATTTGCCCTTGAATCAACAGGGCCTCGTACTTCAAACGCATGGCGTCCTTAAGCAACTGAATACTGGTTTTGAACTTGAAAGACTTAATGGTGGCGCGGCTTTTTAACTCCTCAATATAGTTCTCGTCAAGATCGGTGATCACTGCCCCGTAGTACTTGCGGTTCCCGGGTCCAAGCAGGGTCCTGCGGACGTCCGGTACGGGCACCTCCAGTCGCAACCTTAAGCTGTTTCGCAGCCGAGTGCTGAAGGTAAAAAACATATCCTTGGGACCCAGCATATCGGCCTGCGCCTTGTGCTGACCCGAAAATGGCAGCATACGGTAGGGATCCTCGTCCTCGGCATTCACGTCAACTACCGCCGCGTGGAAGCGTGCGCGTCGCATTTCCTCGAATGGCACCAGTGGTTTTCGTATGTAATCCAGGGGCAACTTAGTCTTATCCTCGATCACCATGTAGCTGCCACTGTCGTTAGACAGATCAGTGCACTCGGAGCTGCTCAATGAGCTAAGGCAGTTTTCAATGCTCTTGAGATCCTCCTCAAGGTCCGCGATCACTGCGCGACGATCTACTAATAGGCGATCTTCGCCAGGTTCGATGTCCTTGGTCTCGTAAATTGCTTCGCGGGTGTCACGCAGCTGGTCCAGATACTGTTTGCGACCCGGAAAGTCTAGTTTGCCCAACTCTTCGGGATCCCGCGAGTGAAAGACGAAGTCGTATGGTCGACAAAGGTTAGGCACTATTTCGCCGGCAGCCTCTTTGCTGTCAATGCGGGTGGTAGCCAGCTGTTTGGAAATCAAATGGCTAAAGTCGTAGCTGGGCATGGTTAGATCCTTGTCCACATACTTGGTGCTGGGCGGATTAGCCTTCTCAAACTTTACCACCGGTTCCCGGACCTTATTCGCCACCTTTGTAACCTCGGGAAGAACGGTCTTCGGCTGATACTGTACGTGTACATTTTTCACTTGAGTCGGCGCCCAATGGTCGTGGTGGTGTCTGGCCTCTAATATTTCTGTATACGGGCGCTTTTTCGTCCTTACATTGGCAAAGCGGAGCTTCTCAGGTTCCGGTTGCTCTAGGAGCGGCAGTAGAGAATTCTGCATCACCTCGCTAAAAATTGCAGAAGGAACACGCTCGGTGGCATAATCGCGCTTCCGTCTCGGGTGTATTGTCAGGGTCTTCTCCCTCTCCTTGGGTGCCGGCATATTTCCGCGCCAACGTGCCGGTTGCGACTCCATGCCGCCGGTTGACCGTCCGCGGTCGACGCTTTCCTGGCCAGCAGACACGTGATGGAAGCCGAAAAAGCCAGAGTTCCCAGTGGTGCTAGTGTGGCCTGCTGCCTGTGAGTGTGTCGGTCGGTTGCATCCACCCTCCTGTCTATGGTGACTTTCGCTCTCATTGTACGGAGGCTCTGGAGTCGGCACCCAATCGACATCCAGCTCCTCCTCGACCTCCAGACAAGGATCTGCCGCCCTTAGCTGCTCCTTCTCAATGCAGGGCAGGCCGAGCAGCTGCATGCGGGCCAGTTTTTTTTTCTGGCGCTTGGACTTGGCCAGCTGCTGCTTTAGATCGAGATACTCTAGGGTTGTGTTGACCTTGGTGGCGTCCAGTACCTCCATTTCTTCAACAGGGACGCGACCGTCTGGGACAAGTGCTTTCTCAGGAAAAACGTAGCGGATGAGATTAAACTTCTTAACATTGTATACCGGCTTGGGCTTAACAATTTTCAAGTTCTTGCGTAGCCGGCGGTGGTAGTGCAGGCCAAGCCGCTGACCTACGAATTCCTTGACTGCGCTTTGACGTTCCCGCCTTCTCACAAGCAGCGGCTCTGGTGGAAACAGGTCCAAGTTAGGATCATCGGGGTCAAGAACCTATAGGCAAAGTTTAATGTTATAAAATAAAAACAAACAAGGAAGAACGCTATAGTCGAGTACCTCGACTATCAGATACCCGTTACTCAGCTAAATAGAGATATGCAAGTAGCAAAGCGAGACTAAAATGCGCAACCTACCGGCGGTATACAGATTTAAGCGTTATGGGCGTAAGAGTGGGCGTGGCAAATTTTTTTTTGGACCAAGGTATAGGTATTGAAGAGACCAATACATTTCAGTTAAAATTTTTTATCTAGCATAAAAATTGTGGGCTTCACAGGTTTTCGCGGTTTGTGGGCGTTAGAGTGGGCGTGGCATATTCGCGTAACAAACTTGCGCTGCGTATAGGGCTACGAAATCTAAATCTGAAATCCCAATTCTCTATCTTTGATAGTTTCCGAGACATCCACGTTCATACTTACGATTTTTTTAAGTTTGTGGGCGGTTTATGGGCGTTAGGGTGGGCGTGGCAAACTTTTTTTTGGGTCAATCGATAGGTATTGATGAGAACAATACATTTCAGCTAAAATTTTTATTCTAGCATCAAAACTGTAGGAGCCACAGTTTTGGGCGGTTTGTGGGCGATAGAGTGGGAGTGGCACTCTACTGAAACAAACTTGCGCTGCGTAAGAAGCTTAGGAATCTGCACGCCAAATCTCAATAGCCTAGCTCCCATAGTTTCCGAGATCTCAGCGTTCATCCGGACAGACAGACGGACAGACGAACATGGCTAGATCGACTCGGCTAGTGATCCTGATCAAGAATATATACACTTTATGGGGTCGGAAACGCTTCCTTCTGCCTTTTACATACTTTCCGACGAATCTAGTATACCCTTTTACTCTACGAGTAACGGGTATAAAAAGAACGCTATAGTCGAGTGCCTTGATGAGATGGAGATGAACAAACAGCAAAAGGAGATTGTAAAGCTCCGAATACACCCCATTTCAATATATAGAATTGTGGTCGCAGACAGATTTAAGTGATATAGGCGCTTGTGGACGTTAGTGTGGGCGTGGAAAAGACGTGCTACAAAAAGAAAGTTATACCAATTTTGGGAAAAACAAGCAAGTGCATAAAGAAAATTTGCAAAAAAACCCAACAAAAAATATCACATTGCAACCGTTACAAATACGCACAGGTGCAGCGGACTGCAGCCCAGGCACAACAACAACGCATCGACCACCTGACTTAAACTACCCCGCTCTTTCTACAAAGAAAACAATATTTTGAACCCAAATTTCTTACGATCACCAGAACGGTCAAAGATATATATGAAAAATTTTACCATTTGTGATTAAAAATGTCATTGACTTCATCTGCGGTGCCGAAATGAAGTCTTGTATCAAAAGTAGAATCGGAACCTTATTGGTAAAAACCAAAGGCGCAGCCCAGGCATTCAGGCATTGCTAAAGCTAACTCACTCTGTTCCGCAACTCCACTGTTTCCGCAGCTGAGCATGAATCTTTAAATTTCTCGCAAGGAGTTACCTACTCTAATGAAATTTGCAATATAGATGAAATGAATGTAGGAAAACCAGAAGAGCAATTAGAAGAGAAACAAGGAGTGGTCGTCGTTTCTAAAATAACGAGTTTAAAAATCGAATGAGAGCCAGTCGGTGTCAAGATCTCGTTCGCTACAGACGCAAGTTGCCACATTTTTGTGAAATTGTTATTTAAGCCACAACCGATAGTTTGTCATAAATGACCCAAATATTTATAATATAATAAACATTCTAATAATATCAAGTCGTCTCCGGAGTTTTGTTATCAAACGAAATCCTGGGGCCACAATTTTGGGGGCTCGACCGGAAATATTTGGATTAATTGGTTGTGTTAAAACGTTTTGCTATGTGGTGGAAGTGACAACAACTAAAGAAAATCAAATCGCAAATACAGCAAAATTTGCAATCAGAAAACAGCGTGAACCCGTGAAGGCACAGTTGCAAATCTAAACAAAATTGCGAAATTCTTTTCTACGTCGAAGGGGAGGTGAAGGAGAGGCCGACGCACAAAAGATTGATGTGGGCAACAAAGAAGGCGATTGAATGGCGAGTACGAATCTGAGAGAAACGCAAAGACTTTGTGGTTGCCGTCAAACAGCAAGAGGCAGGATCGTTGGGGGCGTCATCCATACAAAGAGCAAGTCGTGCAGCAGTTTCGGTACCAAGCGGATCGCAGGAGTTGTGCATCAGAGGAAGCGAGAAAGGGCTCTTAAAAGCAAGAGAAGAAGGCGAAACGATGACTAGGCGGCGAGAGGATCTGAAGAGGTGTTGATGCTCAACGAGCAGTCCACTCTGGAACAGTATTGGTGACGCGGAGCGGCGCAGATAGAAAGAGCGAATTGGTCATCTAGAGCGGTGTTGGTGTACTTGGTTGTACTTGTGAGTCGAGAGCTGTCCCAATTTTGGTTAGTTGCAGAAATTTTCACGTTAAGGCGTGACAGACTTGAAGGAGGAAAGACGTGAAGAAAAACAAGACGAGAAGGCGAACAGAGAAAGATAATTTGAAATTAACGTATTTGTACCTTATAATTAGGTTAACGTTGTGTGAACGGTAGCTGAAGTGTAGTAGCTTACATAGTGTTACGTTTTGCATTCTTTTCGCACATATAAGCAGTGCGTACATCTGCTGTTAACATTCACTGGCAAAGTAAAGTCTCATTTTGGCCGAGTTGGCATTCATGATGTACATCTTATTATTTTATATGCGTACCTACTGTATTTGATATACAAATTCTAGTCTTAAACTATATATGAATATTTTAGTGAAAATAAATAGGGAAGAGATTTTGGCACGGCTCGTGGAGGATTTACGCGAAAAATTGACAGAATTAGTATTAAACAGAAATGGTAACAAGCCCGAATTACAAAACAGACTAGTTGCTCACTATGGTCTGGATTCTGATAAAAATAACAAGGTAGAAATCCAAGAAGATAATGATGAGGAAGAAGATCTTTTGCTTCCGTACATTCAAATATTAGACAGGTGGGCAAAAATAGGGAGCGTGGAATGAATCCAATTCCTCGCGGGCAGAACCGTCACGATTCATCGGCAGAAGTTCATCGTAGACTTGGCAAACGACAGCAGAAGAAGACCGAATTGTTGCACGAGTACCTGTATGCTTTAAAGGAATTGGTAAAACCAATAGATTTAGACAATGAAACCTTAATTACATACTTTGTCGAAGACATTCCAGACTCCAAGGTAAACAAAACAAAGACTATGAAGTAGTTGAAAGTGCAGATTGAGGCATATAAGAAGACGCGAGGATCTGCAAAGCAAGTCAGGTGCGACTCTCACTTCAGCAAAGGTGAGAAAAACACTGCCAAAGTAGTTGAGAAGATGATAAAAAGGTTTTAGCTGTGGAGACAAATCTCACATGAAGAAAGATGGCCCAAAAAGAAACAATAAAAGTTTCAGGTGCAACCAGCCAGGACATAGAGCGGCCCATTGCCAGGTCTAAATGGTACCCAAGCACAAGCCTTGTACAAGTAGAGGGCAAGACGAAGCCAACAAGCACGTTTACGTCTTCGGGATTAGAGTTAAAGTGTATTTTTTTTGGAAAAGTTATTTTTAAAGGGTTAGTGGACACAAGCAGATCTTTGCTTGCATCGTCGCATTATCTACTTGAAACTCGGAGAACGGAGTTTGACAGGAGGTGAAAATGTTTGACTGGAATCGGGGAAAGTCAAGTTGTGACTTTTGGAAGCCTCATTATCCCAGTTCTATATCCTACGAAGTCCTGGCATTTGATGCAATTTTGGGCAGGACTCTTTTGCTTTTGGTGGACATGAAAGTGACGAAGGATGGTACCGAGTTCGTTCGCAGAACAGACAGTCAAAAAGGTACAGGACCACAATTGAAGGTCCAAGAAGGGAAGACTGAAAAAGGCAAAAAACGATGACCTCCGATACCCTAGTATACCCTAGTAAACCCCCTCACTAAAAAAAAAAAAAAAATAATGGTATCATTGGAAAGCATTTTTCAAGCCCTTTCCAATGGTATAATTTTCTCTGTTCTAAAATAAAAACTGCACATTTTGAACAAAACTCACAAAATTAAAATTTCACACCTTCGCGCACAAGCAGTCATGAGCAAGGACTCGAGGGTAGGGGGTGAGATTCGGGTTCGTGGGTACGCACGTTCACTTTCTCCTGCTCATTCTCAGAAGATAACGAGGGGTCACAATATTTGAAATGCAATAAAACGGGAGGGTTCCGTGGAATACCAAACACACTGATTATAGGATGAGTATACGCTTGCAATTAAAAAAAACTCATACAAAATACATTTAAAACCGCCTAAAAAACCTCCGCAACCGCTTTTAATAGCTACTTTTAGTTCGTGGGATATTTCTCAATGAAAATTCTGGGTGTCGTGATTGTTTAAAAATTCTGTTTCAAGATTAATTATATCTCTATAAAAACTTATATTAATTATATGAAATATTTCTGCGAATGATTCATAAATATTAACATCTTTGGTATCCTTGGAAAGACGGAAATCATGGTTTGTATAGTCCATAAGTTCTGATTTGGATGTAGTTACCAGCAATAATATGTATATTATTAAAAACAATATCTGCAATTTTAATACTAATTATTTAATATTATCATTATGAAACGTAAAGCTTCTGTTATTTATAATAGCTTTTCTAAGAAGATTTTCCTTGACTACTAGTTCTTTATAACTAGAATTAAGCATGTTTCTTTCCCTGTGTTTCTTTTCGGAGATTACCACTCCTACGTGATAGTTATCTTGTCAATCTTTATTGTGAAAATGTGACATTTTCTCTTGAGCTTCTTGCAATAATTTAGGAGTTTGATCATGTTTGATTCTATTAAAGG